GCCAGCCCAGCGGCACGAAGCGCTCGGGGGTCCCTCTGCAGCCCTGGGTAGAGACGGGTGCTGAGACCGCTGGCGTCGGCCCCGCATCCAGCCGCGCCTTCCTCCGCCCAACTGCCCCCGCCCCCCGGGTGCGCTGGGACCCTCCACCCCGACAGCGCCTTCCTCCACCTGTAGTCGCGCCCCGAGCCCTCCCCACCCACCACCGCTCATCCAGCCCCATGACGTCCCACACCTCTGAGACCTCTGGACGGCGTCCAAGACGCTGTGCCCACGCCCGGTGACCCTCACGCCAGGCCACAGACCCCTGAATCCTCGTCCACGTCCTCCCCCGCCCCAGCACTCCCGCCCCGACCGCACCCCTGGCCTCATCCCGGCGCCCGTGGGTCCCTCAGTCCACACCCACCAACATGCGATGCCCACGCCCCTCAAGGCCACTCCCCCAGGCAGGCCCCTCAGGGGCATCTCACCACCTGCCAGAGCAGCCCAGCGGAAAGTCCAGCCCCAGGTGGCTCCCAGCTCACTCCTGCATGGAGCCCACCTTCTTCCCCCAGCGTTCAGAAAACCAAGACCTCCACTCAAACGCCGGCCGGGCAGGCGTGGTGGCTCACGCCTGTAATCCCAGCACTTTGGGAGGCTGAGGCGAAGGGATCACCAGGTCACAAGTTTGAGACCAGCTTGGCCAGCATGGTGAAACCCCGTCTCTACTAAATATGCCAAAAATTAGCCGGGTGTAGTGGTAGGCGCTTGTAGTCCCAGCTACTCAGGAGTCTGAGGCAGGAGAATCGCTTGAATCCAGAGGCAGAGGTGGCAGTGAGCTGAGATCACATCATTGCACTCCAGCCTGGGCAATAAGAGCAAAACTACTTCTCAAATAAAAATTAAAAACGTGGGCAGGGGGTCGGGGTGGGGCATCGCGCCTCTGGGTGAAGGCTTTGTGTATGGGGAGGTCCCCTTCCTCACCCTGCCTAATGCCCCTCCACCTGGCCCCTCACCCCAGAGGGGGAGTCCAGCTCTGCCTCTCCCAGCCCTCCTCGAGGTGAGTCCTGCCTAGAAGGACCCAACCAGCCGGCGTATTTGGAGAAGAGCAGCTCCCACCCCGACTCCTCCTGCGCTGCTGTGCCTGGGCTCAGGTTCAGATGCCTGGTGCTGAGCTGAGCCAGACCAAGTGGGTGGTAGGCACAGGGCAGTGCCTGCAGATGAGGGCCAGCAGCTGGGGCAGCCCCCCAGAGTCCCAGGGCAGGTCAGTGGCTGTACAGGTCAGTAAGGAGGTGGGAGTGTCGAGGCTGAGAGTGTTTCTGTCCCCATGAGAGGCTGCAGCTGGTGCAGGCCATCTGGGCACACTGGCACCTTAGAGCTGCAGGAGGGACTTAGCCTCCTGTGGGACAGGCGGCATCTCGTGAGTGGAGTCCCAGCCCCTGAACCTCAGTGGGAATCAGGAGGTGGCAACACCTACGTGCTGTCCTCGTAAAGACCCCTCGTAAAGACCCCATCATGCCCTTGTAAAAAGCCTGCCGTGCCCTGGTAGAGACCCCGCCATGCCCTCGTAGAGACCCCGCCATGCCCTCGTAGAGACCCCACCATGCCCTCGTAGAGACCCCGCCGCGCCCTCCTAGAGACCCCGCCGAGCCCTCGTAGAGATCCCACCACGCCCTCGTAGAGACCCCATCAAGCCCTCATAGAGACCCCACCACGGCCTCCTAAAGACCCCATCACGCCCTCATAAAGACCCTCGAGTGGGAGAAAGAGGTGAAGCTGCCTGCTGGCCAGCCGCGTCCCAGCCCCACATCCTTCTCAGCTACTCCGAGGCCAAGAGCAGCCAGTGGCAGCCCCTTGATTCTGAAGGTTTAGCCAGGGCTCAGAAGAGCGCGATAGGAGCTGGGCGTGGTGGCTCCACCTGTAACCTCAGCCCCTCAGAGCCTTCGGAAAACCAGACGCGAAAGCTCAGTGGTCACTTTTGCCACCTCGCTCAGCCAAGGAGTTTGTGCTGTTCATGGCGTGGTTCAAGGCCTGAACACAAATCCTCCCGACCTGCACCACACCCCAGAGGTATTGAGAAAGGCATCACCCGCCAGGTTCTACAAAGTGGACCCCACTATCTACCTGGCCAGCATCCCACTCTGCCCCCCAGACACTCATGCGGGGCTGGAACAGGTGCCACATGCCTCAAACCCCCTCCCAAGCTCACACCCACACCTCCGTCAGGGGACACCCGGGCCCCAGCATCGAAACCTGCTCTGCGCCCTGTCCTGGAGGGCACAGCAGCTGCTGGTGAGGGAGGGTTGGGGATGGAGCAGGCGGCCCCCACGCCCCTGCGTTACCTGGGGCTCCGGGTGGCGGATGCAGGGTGCCCTCCTGTCTTCAGGCCCTGCAGCACAGGCGCCAGGGGTGCACATTAAACAGGTTTGGATCTGAGTATCTGGTAGGCTGGGCTTCAGGGTCACAGGTGTTCAGGGCCTGACTGTCCGCATGGTGGCAAAGGCAGGCAGGGAGCTCGGCCTTCCTGGCAGCCTTGTTGCGGGTGGGCTGTGCGGCTCTGCCGTTCTTGGCTGGCCTTTTTGGGGGTGCCAGCAAGGCCAGAGGGAGCCCTTCTCATCCTTCAGTCCCAGGTCTCACTGGAGAGCCGGTCATATGGGTCCCTGGGTGGGGTCCAGCATGGCGAGGGGGCACTGTGCCTTCAGCGGCTGTGCATCCCACAGCGAGGCTGAGGCCTTGAGGTTGCAGACGGGCAGCACCTGCCTTCTTACCCTCCTCATACCAATGCCCGCCACACAGAGGTCAGACCCACTGAATGGGGGCAGCTCAACTGCAGGCTGAGGGGAAGGCACAGGTTGGGGGTGCTGGGATGTGGCCGGGATGGTGGAGTCTGTGCAGGAGGGGTTGGGCAGGGATGTCCCATGCAGACCCTCAGGAGGCTCCCAGGCTCTGTAGAGCCTGCAGGGAGTCCAGACTTCCTGAGTCTTGAGGGGCAATCTAGAGGGCCCCACACCCAAGGACTGGGCTACCCTTTTCTCCAGTTTAGCCACAAAGAGGCCTCAAGAGATAGGTATCGGCCACACTTCCCAATGGCTCCAGCACGTCTCCAGGCACAGGCCTCACCCCCCAGGAAGGTCCCAAGGGGAGAAGGAGGCCCCCAAAAGATCCTCGGAGTGGAAGACACTGCAGGCCAAAGGGAAGGAGCAGCACAGTGGGCCTGGAGGCTGCCAGCATGGAGCCCCCATCTCCAACATCATTCAGGGCTAGGTGGGGCTGGGAAAGAGGGAGGAAAGCTGGACAGAGCCCTGAGCTGAGTAAGGAGGGCTGCCCCGCACACCCGGAAACCTGTAGCAGCCCCTTCCTCAGTGCCAATGAGGCACCGAGTCCCACGGGAGGGCAGGGCAGGCCTGGATCATGGAGAGGGAGTCATGGAGCGGGATCAGCATCCTCCATGGACCCTCTGGGGCTGGTGGCCTGCGGCTCCACCCTCGCTGAGTAATCAGGTGGCAAAGCGTCCACATGGGGGGCTGCCACCAAACTCCCCAGAGGATGGCACCCACCACCCTGGCAGGGGCGGGCAAGGCTCACCTGCCTCCACAGGAGATCGAAGTTGCCGATGTCACAGCTGCAGTCCACGGCCACCTTGATGGCATCCTCCTGCACCTTTGCGCACAGCTGGGCCGTGACGGGCGTGGACGGGTGCGTGGTGGGGCTGGAGTTGATCTCAATCAGCCAGGGCCTGAAGTCCCTCCCGAGCACAAAGTCGGCCCCATAGAGCTCAAAGCTGTTCTTATGAGGCTCCACATGATCCTGTGCCACCATCATGACCTTCGTGGACGGGTAGATGACACTGCCCCACGTGGCGCCGTGGCCCTGGCCCTGCAGGTACTCCTGGAAACTGGCACTGGTCCACATGTTGTGTGCTGGCAGCAGAGGGCTGCGGCCCGCGTCATTCTTCAGGTGCTTCTGGATGGCGTTGTTGCACAAGTGGATGGCGCTGTGTGGGGTGGGGGGCGGGGGTTGAGGGGCAGGTGCTCAGCCTCCAGCCCAGGAAGGCACCCAAGGCGGATCCTCCCAACCGTGCTGCGCCCACTCAGCTGGCTCTAGAGAATCTCATCCCAAGGACTCCCACACCTGCCAGAGGAACCCAGGCCAGCTGGGGGGACTCTCCTGGCTCCCCAGCTGACACAGCCCAGGACAACCAACCCTCAGTCCAGTGGGCAGATGCCATGGAATGCACTTGGGGGCAGGGCAGAAGCCCACCAGCCCAGGGCCCCCAACTAGGTGCTGCTGGCAAGTAAGAGCCTCCCTGCACCTCAGTTTCCCAATCTGCATGTGGCCAGAGGGATGCTGGTGACACAGGGTGAGAAACAGTCACCTACCTAAAATTGTCAGTAATTTAGCTATACTCTTGCCCTATTTCTAAACAGGATTTAAAACTACTAACATGGTTTAGGAGATTGCACTATGCTGTATGTATGTCAAAAG